TCTCTCTCTCTCTCTCTCTCTCTCTCTCTCTCTCTCTCTCTCTCTCTCTCTCTCTCTCTCTCGCTTACTCGCTTGTTCCATTCCTCTTTTCTCCGCTCTCCCCGTTTCTCACTTTATCTATCTATCTATCTGTCTCTATCTTTTTTCCTCTGATTTTCCTGGGCTTTTCCGACAACGTCCTACGCCATAGCACGATGCAATGTCCGAGCGCGTCTCTTCCGCTTTATCTCCTTCCCTTGTTCGCATATTGCGGCACTGAGACGCCAAGAAGAATACGTATCTGAGCTCTTCGACGTTTAAGTTTGCATGAATGCGGCCGCCGTTGAGCGAATCTCCGCATACCGTGTAACTTTTGTTATTTTCCATGGCGCACTTCGTCCGTCTCTTTAAGCTTCTCGAAACACGGGAAACACTTTGAGATTCTTACTACGCTTTTTTGCCTATACTTTCGAAAATACGCATGTAAAATTTAACAGATGTATCATTTGCACTGCTATTCGCAGCAACAGTCTTGTATATTCGACACGACCTCTGCGAAGTGGATTCGACTGTTTTAAAATTTTAAAGAAAATAAACGGTTAAAGAAAATAAACACGGTTCTGATTGCTCCCCAAAAAGCTATTGATTATTCTTAACAAACAGAGCTCTCAAATTAAGTGTAAAAATTATAGCTTTTTGAATTTTTACTTTTGTGAAGTTGATTCCTCGAAACTTTATATAGTATTTTCATTTCTCTAATCAACGGAACTCTTTTTAAAACTTATAAAAATTCTAGAACTCTTCAGAGATAACTAGAACTGTGCTTATTTTTTCAAATTTTAAAAAAGTAGAGTCAACTTCACAGAGGTTTTGACCTATGTACGAATAGATTGAGTTTATTCCAAGTCATAAGTTTAAACTAGCACGCAATTCTGTGTACATATTAATAATTTTTTGCATTAATCAATGATGAGCAAAATAACAACTTGAGGATCGACATAATTTTTTCACTACTTACCTTTCTCACAGTTTATTACGCACGAATATATTCAGTGTATAATTACTATATTTGCTATACGGGCAATAAATTGAAATTTAAATTTCACTAAATTAACAAGCGATTAAATGTAGAGGCATGTCCTTCCCGTAAACCTCCCGCAAGAATCTTTACTTTGAATTACGCACGAGGTAAATTATCCAAAGAGGCGAATATCAATTTTGCGAATAATTACGCGAAATACAATCGCCATATATAGGGCTTCTCCTTATACGGAGGAATGTTGGAGGATTGTATAAGGTACGTGTACGCGTGATGGACTACACGCATACGGTTCTTGCGGACACGACTGTGATATATTAGCACATCGCGCGTGCGCACACGCGCGTGAGGCGCGTCGTCTTATAGATATTAGGCTAATGCGTCAGTATTCGCGCGGTATTGTTTTCGTTATCGTGTTACAAGCGCGCTGTGTGCTGCAGTTATATATACGGGGCAATATTATTATCCGTCGTAATCGCGTAAGTGTATTACGCGCCGGCGCGTGGCGCAATAGTTAGCGTTCGTTATACTTACGTGAGTCCTCCCGAAATGCGTGTCGTTATACTCCTCTCGGTTTCGCGAGACACGGAAACGCAGTTTCAACTTCGAAACGCCGACAAGAAGTTGCGCAACGTTTCTCAATATGTACGTTCTCGAGGGAGAGAGAGAGAGAGAGAGAGAGAGAGAGAGAGAGAGAGAGAGAGAGAGAGAGAGAA